CTCGTGGGGAGGTCATGGCCGAGGGTGTAGTCGGCATGGCGCGTGCACTTTTGGGTGCCGGTGCCAGTTCTGTTGTGGCAACCTTGTGGGCGATTGGCGACGAGGGAACCCTGGAGTTCATGACTTTCTTCTACGATGCACTTGCCGAAGGCAAGAAGGCCAGTGAAGCTCTTAATCAGGCCATGAAGTCTATGAGAGAAATTGAAAATTTCAAGGAGGTTTGGCACTGGGCACCATTTGTACTAATTGGTGACGACGTCTACCTGGATTTTGAGGAGATTTAGAAGCTGCAGCAAGTAATAATTCTGTTGATACATTCTATTCAGTACAAAATTATTAAATCATAATCTTTGCTCATATGTGAGCAGTGATATTTGCGTGTTATTTTCCTTTCAGTTGGGTTGCGAATTTATCTTTTGCTCCGGCAAATTGAGATGCAGTACAATCAAGTGGACACGTTTACGATGATAACATTCTTTTTTGGAAACATGATGGGAGTAAAATAGCAAATTTATTTTAAAACAATCCTGTTGTGCAATGTATTGTTTCATGTGCTAAGAAATATTTCATGGCAACTCAACTATCCTCCCTAAACTTAGATTCTTTTATTTTTCAGTTAAGGCAGTTAGCATTGGAATCCCAGAGAGTTTTCGAATACCCACAAATGCTGAAATTTGGACCAGTAACCAGTAAGCTACCGATGAAACCTTTGTCAAGAGTATTCTTTTCAAAGCAGGAAGAACCAAAAGACGGCCAAAGTCAAGTTTAACAAGAGAACAGATTTCCATTGATTCAAAAGTTGCCTTTTTGCTTGTCTGAACCGCTTTTACGAGCTTAATCTTTGATATCCTTCCTCAAACGACTGTTTGTTTGTTGGTTTGTTTTTTTGTTTTTCATATGATGTCTTAAAATTATCATGACTAGCTATTTGAGAAGTTATTTTCAATCTAAGTATTTTCTACAGAGAGGATTTGGGCGTAACATTTACGTCGAAGTTGAAACGTCTTGAAAACGTTTTCCAGAGTTTTTTACAGACTTTTTCTCAATCGGTTTAATCTCATGAGTGATGTAAAGCTATTACAGCCATGTGCGTGTGTAGAGAATTTCCATAGGAATTAGAGAATAATCAGTTGTCCGATTGCTCGATTATCTTAGTCTATGTCAAATGGAAATTGTGATTGACTTTTCGAGGATTTATAGTCAGTCATTGGTACTTAAAACTAGTTTCTGCTGATCAGAATTTGGTCTATCTGGACTTAAAATGACAGATTTTGGCCGTAATGGCAAAGATTTAGTCTTGGTACTAGTTAAATTTTGGGATTTCTCCTTTAATTTTGAATGCGGTAAATTG